TACCCTTGCAAGGTTGATTAAGCACTTTAATTCCCTTATAAAATCATAACCACTGAGCCATATCACCTGAAAATTAATAGTTCCTCAATATCATCAGCTATTTTCTTAATGTCACATTTTCCCAGCTATTGCATAAATGTTTTTACAGTTGGTTTGAATCACAATCTAAGCAAGGATCTGTTTGTTCATTGCAAACAGCTGGCGTGTTTCTTGAATCTCTTTCAATCTATAGGTCTCCATCCATATCTTTTCTTTTTTGATATTTTATTTTTAATTATTTATTTATCTGGCAGCACTGGGTCTTAGCTGAGGCATGCACACTCTTTAGTTGCGGCATGTGGGGTCTAGTTCCCTGACCAGGGATCAAATTCAGGCCCCCTGCATTGGGAGCATAGAGTCTTAGCTACTACACCACCAGGTAAGTCTGTCCTTATTTTTCTTGTGCACGTGCTTGCACACTCTCTTTCTAGGTGTTTAAAAAAGAAGTTAGCCATAATTAGTATAACTTTCCCCCTGTATATTTTCTATCTGGTTGCTTTCAAGATTTTCTGTTTATTTTTGGTTTTCAGCAGTTTGACTGTGTGCCTGGATGTGGCTTTCTTTGTATTTATCCTATTTGGAATTTGCTGAGCTTCGTGGATCTTTAAGTTTGTATATTGCTGCTGTTGTTAACAAATTGAGGACAGTTTAGCCATTATTTCTTCAATTTTTTTTTTTTTTGCCTCATTCTTTCTGTTTTTTCTTGTTTGACAATGTTACAATGACTGTGCAGGAAAATCATCTTATTTTCTTAGATGAACACATAAGTATTTAGGATAGGATATCAGAATTTCTGGGGCTTCCCTGGTGGCTCAGTGGTAAAGAATCTGCCTGCCAATGCCAGAGATATGGGTTCAATCCCTAGGTTGGGAAGATCCCCTGGAGAAAGAAATGGCAATCCACTCCAGTATTCTTGCCTGGAAAATCCCATGGACAAAGGAGCCTGCAGACTACAGTCCACAGAGTCAGAAGAGTCAGACACAACTTAGCAACTGAACTACCACCATCAGAATCCCTAATTTGCTTTAAAATAATATATTTTTTAAAAATGTGTTGATGGGAGGTAAAAATCCTCCTCCATTTAAAAAAAAAATTCTCACTTTCTTGAACTCCAGTTGATCTCTTTTAGACCATTTCATATTGTCCCCACAGGTCACTGAAGATCTATTTCTTTGTCTTTAATCTTTGTTGATCTGTTTTCATATTTGCTAACCCTTTCTTTTATCATCTCCCATCTGCTAAGTCTGTCCAGTCCAGTATTTCAAGCACTGTATTTTTCAGTTCAAAAACCTTTTTTGATAGTTTCCTTTTCTCTTCTGATCATCTTCATCTGTTATCAGTCATCACCACCATTATCTTTAAGTACTTGAACTTATTTATAATAGCTACTTTAAAGTTCTTATTTGCTCCTTCCAGTATCTAGATTATCTGAACCTGTTTCTATTGCCTGCCTTCCGTCTTGAATATGGGTCATATTTTTATGTTTCTTTACATGTCTAGGAAATCTTTAGTGGATACTTAATATTATAAATATATGTTATAGAGACTCTGGATTATGTTATATTCCCCTGAAGAGTGTTGATTTTTCTGCTAGCAGGCAGTTAAATAACTGGCTGATCAATTTGAATTTGTGGAGGCTAGATCTTATATTTGGCTAGGGAACAACTATTTCAGTTTTACCTTTAGTGCTCAGGCAGTTCCCTTTGTCCTAGAGCACTAGTCCTTATTCCAAAGGTATGGCCATTCTGGGGTAATAAATAGCCTGAGGTGTTTTCAGAGTCTTCCTTGATAGCTCTCCAGCTCTGAACTCTTGCCAGCAGTACTGTGACCAGCAGCTGAGATTTCCGCTCATGTCTTTAAACCATACAGCTGTTCCCTTTCATTGAGCTCTTTGGAGTTTCCCCTGCGCACTGCTGGTCAGGAGCACATGTTAAGGATTTGGGGGAATTTTATGTGCCCGTTAGTGGCTGCTCCTTCTGAGGCTCCCTTCTTTATGGAAATTTTCTCAGTTTTTTTGTGGGTTTTTTTTTTTTTTTTGCCCTTCTGGCAGCTTCATCCTCTACTCCCTGGCATCTCAAGCACCTTTCTGTTGTTTTTCTAGCTGCTCCAGACTACATGGACTGGGGAGGTCCCTCTGGGTGAAAAAGTGAAAGTCACTGAGTCTAGGCCAATTCTTTGCGACCCATAGACTGTAGCCCACCAGGCTCCTCTGTTCATGGAATTCTCCAGGCCAGAATACTGCTGAGTGGGTAGCTATTCCCTTCTTCAGGGGATCTTCCCAACCCAGGGATCAAACCCAGGTCTCCCACATTGCAGGCAGCTTCTTTACTGTCTGGGTGAAAGCTGTATAAATTTGGATCTCACTCTGGACAGTTCCTTTCTTGCAAGACTAAAATCCCCTCAATAACTTTTTTTTTTTTTTACCATACCTCAAAGCATGTGGGATCTTAGTTCCCTGACCAGGGATTGAATCCATACCCCCTGCATTGGAAGCACAGAGTCTTAACCACTGAACCACCAAGGAAGTGCCTCAATAACTTTTATAAATACATTTTATCCAGACACACAGGAAAATTAGTCTGCTACAAGTCATTCTGCCATTATTGAAACTGGAATCCTCTTTATGAGGAGAAAAATGATAGCATACCATAGTATTTCACCTTACTTTACTTATCTAACCATAGAGCCTGGAGACTGGTCCTTAGCACAATATTAAGGTACTCCTTATTCCATTTTATAGCTGTGTATCCTTCATCATTTAGACAGAGACTCTCACTTGTTAAATCAGTCTTCTATTGGTAGCTATTCCAATGATTGTGTGCATGCTTAGTCATGTCCAACTCTTTGTGACTTTATGGATTGTAGCCTGCCAGGCTTCTCTGCCCATTGGATTCTCCAGGGAAGAATATTGGAGTGGGTTGCCATTTCCTCCTCCAAGGGATTATCCTGACCCAGGGATCAAACCTGAATTTCTGGCATCTCCTGCGTTGTAGGCTGAACCACCACTGAACCACCTGGGAAGCCAATCCAATGATTAAGCACTTTTAAATTCATAGCAGCATGTTATATAGTGATTACAAAGTAAGCCCTTTGCTTTCAGGCAGATGATCATGAACAATGTTCCTTTTGTTCACCATCTCATATGATTGGTGAGATCTAGTGGAGTCCCCATTTTCCTGTTGTCCCTGTGTTAAACTTTAAGAAACAACCACCTTTGACTCTTGTGTGCTAACTTTATCAGATTCCCAGATCCCCTTTATATGTTCTTCATATAGATACTGACGTCATGGTGAAAGGAGATGACTTTGTCTTGCTTTACTTAGAACCATGGACAAGTCTTTGACCAGAAAAAGGACCTGCAGGTATATGCATGCTTTTGGTGAAGCAGCTCTGGGAATAGATGTGGCCAGAGAAACCTCACTGAGATGAGTAGGGGACCCTGGAGAAAGCTCTGTGTCTGTAGGCAGATTTCTGCACTTCTGACCCTATTAAGAACAGGGCCTCCTAAAGCCATGTGTTTGCTGGTCCCTCCCTCATCCCAGCCCATGGAGCTACTTCTGCCACTGAGCTGTGTACACTCCTGATGTTGTCTTTGCTCAAATGTCTTCAGCTGGAGAGTTAAGGTGGGATGGGGAAGAGGCATTTATTGTCAGGGGTCCACTCTTCCTTCTTAACTCTACCTGTCTGACCATTTGTAGGGACTGTAAATTCAGAAACAACATGCTCCTAAATGTTCTTTAAAGTGCAAGATTGTCATTCTGTAAATCAGGCCCACTGTGCCTGCTCAGAGCAGGGTTTGATGTGACTCCCCTCTCCCCCTGCCACCCCCTGCTGCCCCCAGTTTGTATATAGCAAAGAGGTAGATGCTCTAATGGGCATATAAGGCTATAGAATCTGACTGGAGCCTGTCTGTCTGGGTGACCTCGGGCAAGTTGCTTAACTTTTATTTAAGAATATTTGTTTATTTGACTGTGTCAGTCTTTGTTGCACAAGATCTTCATTGCATCATGTGGGATCTTTTGCCATGGGCTCTCGTGCTCTCAACTTGTGGCCCATGGGCTATAGACTGTGCAGGCTTAGTTGCCTGGTGATATGTGGAATCGTAGTTCCCTGACAGGGATTGAATCCCTCTCCCCTTCATTGCAACGCAGATTCTTAACCACTGGACTACCAGGGAAGTCCCTGCTTAACTTCTTTATGCCTCCATTTTTCTCTCATGTTATAAACAGGAGTAACGGTAACATCTTCTACTTGTGTGAAAGCATTAGTGGCTTCAGTTGTGTCCAACGCGTTGTGACTCCGTGGACTGTAGTCCCCCAGGCTCCTCTGACCATGGAATTCTCCAGGAAATAATACTGGAGTGGGTTGCCATTCCCTCTTATAGGGAATCTTCTTGACCCAGGGGTCAAACCTGGGATCTCTTGCATTGCAGGCAGATTCTTTACCATCTGAGCCACCAGGGTATATTGTAAATTTTAAACAATATAATCCAATCCATAGAATAGACAGTAATTGATTTATTATTTTCATCATCTTTATCATTAATAGCAACAACTCCTGGAAGCAGAGAATATGAAAATTGGGTTATGAACATGTAAGTCAGTGAAAGCCTCTCGAGAGAGACCCTCAAGGGCCCTGAAAAACCACACTAAAGAGTCCAGTAACAAAAAGATAAAGAATGAATAAAGAATGAATGTGTGGCTTCCTTGTGTTTATAAGCCACTAATAGGTGATAAATGGAATACTTGTAGACATTCTTAGCTTCTCCAGGGGCAGGAAAAGAATTTCAAGTATGTGCAATTTAATTTTTTTTTAAGCGGGGAAAAAGATTGCACATATGGGGGAAAAGGGTCTTCCTACACCTGCACATGCTCCATGCTTGTCACCTTTAGGATTGCTATGGGGTTCCCTCCCCTGAGCATCCGTCGGGGTCACTGACTATCCTTCCCTCTGCCCCACAGATAATGGTGTCCAGAGGACCTCAAGGCCATCGGCCGAGAACGTACACCAGAACCCTCCCACCATTGAACTGTTGCACCGTTCCAGGTCACCCATCACAACAAACCATCGGCCTTCTCCCGACCCCGAGCAGCGGCCCCTCCGGTCCCCCCTGGACAACATGATCCGCCGCCTCTCCCCAGCTGAGAGGGCCCAGGGACCGAGGCTCCACCAGGAGAACAACCACCAGGAGCCCTACCCGCTGTCAGTGTCTCCCATGGAGAACAACCACTGCCCGCCGTCATCCGAGCCCCACCCGAGGCCCACCAGCCCCCGGCAGGAGGGCACGCGGGTCATCCAGCTGATGCCCAGCCCGATCATGCACCCGCTGATCCTGAACCCCCGACACTCCGTGGATTTCAAGCAGCCGCGGCTCTCTGAGGATGGGCTGCACCGGGAGGGGAAGCCCATCAACCTCTCGCATCGGGAGGACCTGGCATACATGAACCATATCATGGTTTCCGTCTCGCCGCCTGAGGAGCACGCCGTGCCCATCGGGAGGATAGCAGGTGGGTGAGCCCCCACGCTCCCGGGAGTCCCCATGCCACCCCAGTTAGGAGCCCTCCAGAGGCTCTGGGAGGCCAGGGGGAGGGAGCAGGCTTTGATAGCAGGTGGACAAGCCCCCCGCCCTCCCGGGAACCCCCATGCCATCCCAACTAGGTGCCCTTCAGAGACCCTGGGAGGCCAGGGGGAGGGAGAAGGCTTTGACAGCAGGTGGATGAGCCCCCCGCCCTCCCGGGAGCCCCCACGCTGTCCCAATTAGGTGCCCTCCAGAGGCTCTGGGAGGCCAGGGGATGGAGGCTTTCCCGGCAGGAGACGAAATTCCCTAAATGGGCTAGTTAATGAGGCGCTGGGCTGCCGGAGTTAATGAGCCTCAGAAATGTGAAGAAACAAATGTCCTCCGACCAGCTTACAAGGAGAGTCACATTAGGATTGTGGCTAAGCGAAAACATTTAAAATCAAAGGTTTATGAGCATGTTAATGGCCCTGTCCCGGAGTTTCCAGTGGCTAATTAATGAGCAGGCACAGCACAGAGGACCTCTGTCTCAGACTCAGGCCTGGATTTCCATCCTCTGTGCAATAATTCCATGTAGCCTTCACCTTGAGAAGAGGCAGGAGAGAAAAGTAGGATTAGGGTGTTGTTCAGTCATTTGGACAGAGGAAGCTATGCCCGAATCTTTTCCTTTGATGACGACAAGCCCAAATTTGCTTCCCTAAGACGAGAAACCAGTGAAAAAAATCACCATGTTGTATTTTTGCTCATGTGCCTGTAATTTACATGAAGTCATTCTCCAGAAGACATTCTCTGACCTCTTGGCAAAGTTAGGGCTTTTCCTAGAGCTTCTCTCTGGTCATGAGACACTTTTTGAGCACCTACTGTGTGCAGATAAACTCATGAGGACATAGGGGACACAGAGCTGATTAAACACAATTGCTTCCTCAGGGATTTAAAATGTACTAGGAGAGGTGTGAAAACCACTAAGGTATAAGACAGAAGGAGATAAGCCCTCTGCCCCATTCAGTCAAAGCACAAGCATTTGTTGAGTACCTATTGTGTGGTGTGGACGCAATGCAGAGAGAAAGGTTTTTAATATTTTATTTATTTGACTGCACCGGATCTTAGTTGTGGCATGCAAACTCTTAGTTGTGGCATGTGGGATCTAGTTCTCCCCACCAGGGATGGAACCCAGGCCCCCAGCATTGGGAGTGTGGAATCTTAGCCACTGGACCACCTCCTTAAGTCCCAATAAGGAGCATTTTGACTGGAGGAATTGAGGAAGGAAGATAGCTCGAAGTTGACAGTGGTTACGGGTCCAGTAACGGGAGGACCGGCTTCCCTGGTGGCTCAGTGGTAAAGAATCTGCCTGACAGTGCTGGAGACATAGGAGATGTGGGTTTGATCCCTAGGTCAGGAAGATTCCCGGGGAGGAGAAAATGGCAACCCACTCTAGTATTCTTGTGTGGGAAATCCTGTGGACAGAGGAGCCTGGTGGGCTACAGTCCAGGGGGTCCCAGAGAGTCAGACACAACGTAGCAATCAGAGAACAACAATGCAAGAGAGATGTGGAGGCAGGAGAGAGGTCAGACTGTTCAGGGAATCATGATGCTGTAGGACTGAGATCCAGCTGAACCACAGGATAAAGCAGAACTCACAACATCATGATAACACAGGTCCTAAGGCTACTTTACCTCTGTCTTGACTCGCTGCCTCTTTTTTATTGAAGTCATTCATTTCTAAATTTTCCTCTGGCCCCAAGGGCACCTCTGATATCACCTCAATTTTACCACTATAAATAAGTTACATCAGGAATGTTGAATCAAGAAAATCAAAGAGCTATGACTTACATGTTTCAAAAAAAAAAAAACTATGAAAAGTGATATGGTCTATGCTTGGAATGTGATTCAAAAGCATCCCACAGGACTGGGAGTGAGGAATGCATAGTTGTGGTGGTCCATTCGCTAAGTCATGTCCAACTCTTTGCGATCCCATGGACCATAGCCCACCAGACTCCTGTCTATGGGATTTCCCAGGCAGGAATACTGGAGTGGGTTGCCATTTCCTTCTGTGGGTAAAATAAGGTTAGTTATGACCCGAGGGCTATATGGCTGGATATTGGGTCCACAAAGATTTACGTTATTGTTCTGTCAACCTTTACGTAAAGTTTTTTTAATGATGGAGAGGAAAAAAAAAAAAAACTGTGAAAAGAAAGAACAGGGGTTAACGTAGCTTTGCTTATTCTGCAAAGCATGTGTGCTTTCCAGATAGTTGGAGGAAGAGGATGGGGTCAGTGTATTCCTGGGAATAATATAAATGACCTGTTTTGAGCTTTCCAGGCATTCCCTTCTTGTCTGTATCTTCCGTGTTTGTCTTGTTTCTTGCATGGTCTGTACAACAGTTCTGAACATTCTGCAGGTACTTGCTACTTGTTTATAATCCTCAGGACAGCTCTGCAAAAGGAGCTAATCATTGCTATTTTCATTTTATATGGAAGGGATCATTTACAGGGGAAACCATAGAGGAAACTTGAGTGCAGAGAAGCAGAGGCCACGTAGCGGCCGGATGATGTGGCTACAGGACAGCCCTTGCTAGCACCTCCCCCCCCCCCACTTCCTAATCACCATCTGTCTTGTCATCTCCTCCTGAAATGCCGTCTTCGCCACAGACCTCTTAAGAATCCGAGATGAGCCCCATGTGTCAAGTTAAACTGTTTAGACTTAGAGCTGTTTTTCCCTTGTTTAGTAGGTCTAGAAATTTTTTAATATGGCTGTCTTAAAAATTGTTCTACTGTTGGTATATTCCCAGATTTCATAATCTCCATATGTCCGTGTTCAGTCATTTGACCAAATCCAGGATTAGCTAATATAATCAAAAGGCAGTGTTTCTGAAGGGTGAAACAAGAGGGAAATCTATGATCTAATATTTAGTCTTAATCCTGTGACCCTCTGAAGAGAACCCATCACAATTCCAGGCTCCTTTGTTTCATTTGGGATCTCCCTATCTCTCCACCCCATTTTGGTATCTTCTCGGACAACTCAGATCCTTGTGGAATTTATTCTTTTATTGGCAGTCGAATTCATTGGGTGATTCTTATGTACACTATGAAGTCCTTTCATTACTGAACAGTCATAAAAGCCCTTCAGATGTCTATAAAGCAGCTTTTAGGTGAGAAAACTTAGCTCCTTATGCTTTTTTTAAAAATATTTATTTCAATTAGAAGATAATTACTTTACAATATTGTGATGGGTTTTGCCGTACATCCACATGAATTGGCCACAGGTATACATGTGTCCCCCCCATCCTGAACCCCCCACACACACCTCCCTCCCCACCCCATCCCTCTGGGTTGTCCCAGAGCACCAGCTTTGGGTGCCCTGCTTCATGCATCGAACTTGCACTGGCCATCTGAGCCTAGAGGGCACTGAAGGTGCTACTGTCACGCCGACAGAGACTGTAGCTGGAGGGTATGGGTGAGAACAGTACTTGTGACTGTGGATGAAAAGGTCTTGTCCACTCAGTCCTGGGGATATGCCTCTGGACACCTTCTGTGTTTATGGAGCTGTTCTGCGTTCATGGGGGTTGGGTGTTCGAGGAGATTGTAAGACACAATCTTTGTTGTGAAAGAGCTGAAGACAGTTGACTACAACTGCGGCTCATGGTACCTTCCAGGGACTCCAATTAAGTGCTGTAAGAGGTCAGAGTAGGGGTGTCAGGAGGCCTTCATGGGAGAGCTGGCTTTTGGCTGGGCTTAGATGAATGCTTAGAATATGAACAAGTAGAGATTAGAGGAAAAAGAGGTCATTCCAGATGGAGAAAACTCCAAAGCAAGATAAGCCCCAGTATATTTGTTCTAGGTTTCACATAGAAATGTAAACTCCAGAATCCAGGTTTGTTAAAAATGGATTTTTCAATTCAGTTTTTTTCGTGTTTTAATCTCTCAAAAATTGGGACGCATCATACACTTAAGAGATTGCATACAAGTCGTGATAGTTTACTTAGGTATTTACCTGGTGGAAAAACTAAAATATTCAGTAAATATTCATCTAGGAGGTAGTTGGCAGTTTAAATACAAACCACAAATTAGATCAATTGAAGTAGATCATGTAGCTTATTTTGAAAGGTGGTGTTTATTTTTCAAAGAATAAGGACTGTTACTGAGTTTAACAAAGGACAGAAGGAGACGATTCCTGGATTCTATTTTTTAATTTATCTTTAATTAGGGGTTAATTGCTTTACAATGTTGCTTTGGTTTCTGCCATACAATAATGTAAATCAGCTATAAGTACATATATATCTCTCCCTCCTGGGTTTTTTTTTTTTTTTTTCAAACTGAAGAGCCAGTGATATGTGCCATGCTGAGCAAGTTGCTTCTTTCTGTTCTGTTTTCTATTATCTTCAGGAAAGGATTACTTGGGGGAGATGAGAGCATCTGTCACCTTCTAGCATTTTCTTACCCACCAAAGTTTTACTGGCCTGCGTCTCAATGATGTGTTTCATAGCCAAAGACTGGTACTGGCAGTGAGCACCATAAATTGAAGAACGGTAGCAAGGGTGATGCTGTGTTTTCAGTATAATATTGGAAATCATTCTTACAACTCATTGACTTCAAAGCTAGAAGCATCTTTTACAGATGGAGAAACTGAGCTTCGGGCATGTCAAGCATTCAGCCTCGAGCTTCAGCCAGTGTTCTTCCAGCGCATTTGTTTCCTTAGGCCCAGGGACTGGAAACGCTGGCCTATGGGCCAAGTCAGCCACCGCCTGTTTCTGTAAGTCAAGTTTTATTGGCACACGGCCACACCCATTCACTTAGCATTGTCTGTGGCTGCTTTGGCAGGGTTGAGGAGGTAAGAGGTGACACAGGACGGCCCGCAAAGCCTGAAATATTATATTTACTGATGGGCCTTTTACAGAAAGAGTCCGCCGCTCCCTTTTCTGTGGCACTGTCTGCTTTGAAATCAAAGGTATAACGGAGGATTCAGGGGGCAGAAAATGCCATCATTGCTCTCCAGG